GTCTGGAAGACAGGAGGTTTGGAGATAGTTCTTGCACTACAGGAAGGTGAGCTAGATGTAGGTACCAATTTGCCTTAAAACGTTTCCTTATATTTTTCTCTAAAATACCTGGCTTTCAAGGAGTTTGGTCAAACTTAGATGCTGGTATCTGAAGTCTGTGGTTGATTACTGAGCAGGGACAGGCAGTGCTCGCTGGCTGGGGAGGCTGGGCTCAGGCCTCGCTCTGAGTGTGCTGCCCACGGTGGCCGCTCCTCTGCACTGAGCCAGGGTGTGGCTCCAGCAGCGCCTCTTAGAGGAGTCGGAAGGCCGCCCCTGCACAGTGTGGGGTGTTGGGGGGGGCACCTGCCGCCTGCCTGTGGTTCTGTCAGCCATGGCACTGCTCACAAACCTGCATCTGAATATATTTGCAAGGTGCAGCCCCCAAAAACTGTAGTTTCCTACCTTCGTTCTGTTTTAAATTCAGTGCAAACATAAATTATCCCAAGGGTCTTAATGCTCCCTAATGTTGAGCCCCAGAGAGCCTTGGTGGAAGTGGGCATGGGCTTCGGAATCACAGCCATCTCTGGCTCTTCCCTCCTCTAACCAGTTACACAGAGAGACACCTGCTAACTGGAGGGAGCAAGGGTGAGAGGGGTGCAGAAGAAACGCATGCCTTTGGGAAAGCTAGGAGCAGTAGATAGCAGGCAGTGTATGCAGTGGAAAGGTGGCCCAGTTTCTTAGGGTGCAGCCTCCATTCCTTCCTTTGATTCGACCCCAGTGACCAGCCTAGATGAGGGGGCGTGTGGAGAGCTGGAACTGGGACAGGTTCTGAAGGGCGAGCTTGGCCCAGTGCGGCAGCCAGAGGCTGTGTGGACGGAATGTGGACCCCTCCTGGGCTCCAGCAGGTGGCGCAGGGCAGAGGGGAGCTTTTCTCCATCCCCCTGGGGAGAGTGGGTTGTGTTCCCTCCACAGCTTCTGTCCCCTTAGCTCTGAGGACAAGATATGGTCGTTCCTCTGCTTCTCTTGTGGTCCGGAGATGTGCCCGTCACTATACCATCTGGAGGCCTAACAGGAGGCAGGAGTGCTCAAGTCAAGGCCAAACCCTGGAGAAGCAGCTGACACACCAAGGGGCTGCCACATGCCTGCTGGCAACCTTCACGTGCTCATGCCAGGTCTCAGAGGGCGCTGGCAACACAGATCCCTGCCTTCCCTCTTGGGAGAGGGCTGCAGGGGCCAGGGAGGAGGAGGCCTTCCCCACGCGGGTGCACAGAGCTGGGGACCGGTCTGGAAGGTGGCTCTTTCCCACCATGCGTCTCTGGCAGCAGCAGTTCAGAGCTGGGCTTCCAGGCTCTCCCATGAATTTCATGATTTCTGAGTCTTTCGCTTCAATAAAAAAATTTAAAAAATAGCAGGAGGCATGCCTGAGCCCCACCTCTGCCCACCTCCATCTCATTCCTCACCTCAAGGCGGCCTCCTTGCTCCCCTCCGCAGCCGCATTGTACTGCCTGCTTCCGCCAGGGGTCCCCACCCCCTCTGTGCACAGATGAGCTGCCTCTGAGGCCCAGGCGTGCCCAGGGTGGGTGGAGGGCGTGGGGCATGGGGAGGGCCGGTATTTCCTGACCCGCCTCAGGAGCTGGCCCCACAGGCTTGTGGCCTTGCTAGAGCCTGTGAGTCAGGAACTTCCTACTTCAAGAGGCTTCCCCAGTGCAGCAGCAAACAAACTAGTCACCCCCACTGCTCCCGACCTCTGTGACATCCACACCAGCGGAAATGGGGGCCCCAAACCAGCAGGCTCAGCTCTAGGCGCCTCAGTGCTGGTGCAGCTCTTGGAGAAGGAAGGCTGGGGAGGGGGCGGGGCACAGGTGCAGGCTGTCTCCACCCCACAGATTGCTGGGCGTAGCCCCGAAATATTCTTCCCAAATGGACTTTTTACTGACAACCTAGAGAAGAGGGTTTGGGGTAGGTTGACAATAGATCCCCCTTGTTCCCTTTTGCCACGCTGTGTCACACTGGGAACCAGGAATTCTCAATGGTGTCTTGAAGCCAGCTGCCTGTGCTAGTGGGTAGAGGTTCCCAATGGCCCCTCATTGATGCCCTCACCTCCTGCCCTCTCTGAGGACACTTGGCATCAGCAGAGCTGCCAGGCCTGCACTTGGTGTAGCTGCTAATACACCATTTCCCGGACAACCGTTTTCTTAAAACAGTGCTAAAAAACCTCTTAGGACATAGAGAAATGTGGGCACAAACCAATCGCATCTTCCCCCAAAAGGCCGGGGTGCAATTTTCAAAGCTGGCTGTGGAAACAGGGCCTCCCTCTGCACATGTCCAGTGGGCGCCGGGCACAAGGCTGCTGCCTCTCAGAGTTGTCCACATGAAACAGCTCTGCACTGCCTGCAGCGTCACAGAAACGAGCGATTCCAGCCACACGACCAGGCATACCGGCTTGAGCACTGGTGATATCAGATCAGTGAAACTCGGGCATGCCCTCATTTCACCACCTCCCCCTGCCCCAGCCCTGAGCAGTGGGGTCCCCAAAGAGCTAGAGTAGCAAGTTAAATGCTCCTAGCCATAAGAAGCCTCTTGGAATCCCTGCACTAAATCAGCCTGAATTTCCAGTCACCACCGTCTGAGAGCCTCCCACTCCACCGTGGGTGGGGATGGAATTTAGAACTATCTTGGCCTCCAGCTCCTCCCACAGGCCAGCCCCCCCCAGCCCAGGGGGCTTCCAACCACACCAGAATGCTTTCTTTCATGACTAGGCTTCTCTCTTCATGCAACAAAACAGTCCCATGACACAATGCCAGAAGTTATACTTTATTTTAACACTTAGAGGATTAACATATAGTTACAAGGTCAATAGAAGCCTTCCAGTGGAAGCACTTTATTTGGTTTAATTCCATCTCCAGAGACAAACTGGCAACTCTAGGACCTTTACAGTGGCGACGGGCCGCACAACAGCAAAATGCCTCCAAAGTTTAGAATTAGTGCAACACACACACGAACGCTTTAAAGGTGTTCAACATTAGGTTAAAATAGAATTCTGGACCTTTTTTAAAAGAAGTTTTTGGATGATGTACGCACAGAAGGCAAAGCCAATAAGAAACATGAAACCAGTATTTCTGGAAAAACACTTAGCATGAACGTAACTTTTTGACGTTGTGTAAACTTTCTTCTGTAATGACAGATGTTACCAAAAGGCATGGAGAGCTTTGTGCTGTGCCGGTCAGACAAGCCGCAGCTCATCTCCCCGGGATGAAAACCTCCGAGGAACGTCTCATGACAGCCCTCCGTGCCCTTTCCTACTTTCCCATCCTGCAAAGGAAAAACTGGGTAAAGGACAAGTTCCTCTCTTCCGTTCGTTTCTAAGTCATTTTCAGGGCAGGTTCTTTTAAAATGAGTCATCTTACAACACAACAGTATCCTAGCACGGCGGCGAAGTGACGGCGGCAGCGACGGGGGAGGAGGGAGACGCTCATGGGAAATTCCACGTTCTACTCTGTGCAAACTGCTCCGTCAAAATGCAGGCGTGATTTCACAGTAGGATTCCCAGAGTAAATGACACACCTCAGCTTTCACAGGGCTACTGACCTCCTCTAAGCAGCCCGGCTGGGCAGCATCGAGCTTTCCACGGAGCCACGCAGGCTGGCCAGGAAGCAGCACCCAGGTTCAGCATTTAAGAGCACTCTTTTTGGACACAGGTGGTGGAGAGGTTTTTAGAAAAAAGGCAGAGTTGTTACAGAAAGATACAAGCATATCCTATACCGGGGGCGACAAAGAACAAATTACTGCAGCTTAGACCTTTGTCACTATGTTGCGAGAAGTGAATCTACCCTGAAAGATGCAATGCACATGCAGTCCTGAAACTCTAAAACCAGATTTTAAAGAACCGTTGTGCATCCTTGTGGAGTGGAGAGCGGTCAGCTTGGCGACGTCAGGAATTCCTGGCAATCCCTGTCGGGCCTGTGGGCGGAGGCGGCCTTCGCAGGGCTGTGCACCTGTTGGTCTGCAGGGACAGAGGTGCGGCCCTGACTCCGCCCACCCTGTGTCTCCTGCAGGACTGATGCGTTGTGCACCACGCTCAGGTCGCCCGTTGCAGGGACCGGAAGCCCACGGCTTTGCCGAGCCCTGAGCCTTCAGAGGGTGGTGTGCAGTACCCCGGGGAAGTCAGGCTCACACTCGCCCACTTTAAAAACCCGAAGCCACTTCCTCTTCACCTGCCGAGCCTCGGCGTCTCCTTGCTTGTGGTTTCTCGTCCCCAAGGGCTGACTGAGCTGCTCCGGAAGGGTGGTGTGTGGTCAACCCTGGTTGGCTGAGAGGAGCAATTTCCTGGTTTCCACGAGTAAAGATGGGCCCATCCCTTGGGACCGGTCCTTTCTGTCCCTGTCCCTTTGGCTCCTATAGGCCTTCCTTGTCTTAGATTCATAAACGTCAAGAGGAACTGAGGATGCTTGAGGGAACTACCTAGTTACAAAAGCCAAGCAAAGAGTAAAGCTGGCCGACGCCATCCCCAGGCTTCTGTGGCGCTCTCGGTCACAGGAGTCCTCAGCCAGTGGTTCCTCTTGACTGTTTCTGCACCAAATGAGGAGGGGCTGCTTTGCTCTAAGGTGTGGGGGGCCATAGGTTAGGAGACCCCAGGTTTTCCTAAAAAACCAACTCAGAGAAAGAAACAGCTGAAAAAGCAAACTCAACTCATTCCACATGCCCTGAAGAGCTCGTCATAAAATACAGGGGTGGTGGCCGTGGGACACCTCAAAAGACCAAGAGAGGCATGGGGTCTTTGGTGATGAAAGTGCTAACCTCGGCTGGGCGCAGTGGCTCAGGCCTGTCATCTCAGCACTTTGGGAGACGAGCGGGTGGATCACCTGAGGTCAGGAGTTTGAGACCAGCCTGGCCAACTCGGTGAAACCCCGTCTCTACTAAAAATGTGAAAATTAGCCAGGCGTGGTGATGCAGGCCTGCAATCCCAGCTATTTGGGATTGGGAGGCTGAGGCAGGAGAATCGCTGGAACCTGGGAGACGGAGGTTGCAGTGAGCCGAGATCCCGCCACTGCACTCCAGTCCGGACAACAGAGCGAGACTCTGTCTTAAAAAAACAAAAATAAAAACAAAAAACACCAAGAAAGTGCTAACCTCCTCAGATGCTCATCATCCTGGGGTTCGTGGAAAGAAGACGATGGTCACTTTGCAATGAGCCGGTGCAGAGGGGAGGGCCTCACTCACAAGCGCATGATCTGCCGTTCTCAGAGACAGGGAAGTGACGGGGAGGGCAAGGCTGGCCCGAGAGCTGGAATTCGACTTCCAGAGTGGACCTTCCCAGGCCACTGAAGGCAGGGCGCCAAACCAAAAGGTGTGTGTGTGTGTGTGTGTGTGTGCACGGGTGTGTACCAGTGAGGGTGCATGTGTGCCTGTGTGTGTGTGTGCCCCTGCCCCCTGCCCACCAGATGCTCTCAGGTCGAAGGGATGATGAAGAGTCAACGTTTAGTATGAGGTGCAAGCCTAGAATCAGAAAACAACCACTGAGGACTTCACAGACCCGGGAGAAGAGGAAGTGTTTCCTGCAGCAGACAGTCAGTGACACACGGATGACATCATAGCGCTCTGTCCGCCTGGTGTGTGTCAGACCTGCCTTGTGTCCTCAGGGGACCCGTGATGACATTTTCACAAAAGGCACTGTGTGAAGCGCGGAAGGGCCACCAGGACGAGCCCAGGTGGACCAAGGGCCCAGGAAGGAGCTGGCAGGAGCTGTGTGTCCCACTGTCTCGGTGGCCTGTGGGGTGGGCAGGGAGAGCAATGAGGACTGACCAGAGCCGTGGGGGGGGGGGGGTGGCGGCGCTGGCGAGACTTGTCCCCTCAAGAGGTGGTGGCTTGGGCTGGGCAGGAGGGCAGGGAGCATGCCGTAGAGAGGGGCTGCCCCTCAGGGATGGGGCTGCGGAGGGGTGGGCCATCCACAGGGCAGGGCGCTGGAGGCCTGTGGGGACAAGCAGGCGGAGGCTCCTCCAGGAAGGCTCACCCAAGGCTCGAGGCTTGCTGGCACTCCCCTCTAGGAATCTACAACACAAAGAGAAACAGAGAAACTCTCTGTTAGACAGGAAGGCGCAGGTTCTAGGCGGGCATTTTGCTCTTGGCTACAAACTGCACCGCCTTGTGGGGGAAGGTAGTGGGAGGGGAGGTAAGGGGTGGGAGGCAGCATCTTAGAGCAGGTGGTTATCACAGGGCAAGTCTGAGATGAGGAACTTTCACGGTTTTCTCTCTGGCCTTCAGCCGGTCTTTCCTTCAGGGAAGGAGAAGCCCAAATAGGACACTGATGAGGCCATCTGCCCCAGCTCATCTTTCTCGTAAGTTTAGTTTTGAGAGAAAGTAAGAAACGGAGGCTGGGGACCAGGCGCGGTGGCTCACACCTGTAATCCCACCACTTTGGGAGGCCAAGGCGGGTGGATCACGAGATCAAGAGATGGAGACCATTCTGGCCAACATGGTGAAAACATGTCTCTACTAAAAATACAAAAATTAGCTGGGCGTGGTAGCGTGCGCCTGTAGTCCCAGCTACTCGGGAGACTTGAGTCAGGAGAATCACCTGAACCCAGGAGACGGAGGATGCAGTCAGCCCAGATCACGCCACTGCACTCCAGCCTGGCAACAGAGCGAGATTCCATCTCAAAACAAACAACCACCAAAAAAAACGAAACAGAGGTTGGGGCCAGACTCATGGCTCACACCTGCAATCCCAGCACTTTGAAAGGCTGAAGAGGGAGGCTCTCATGAGCTCAGGAGTTCAAGACCAGCCTGGGCAACATAGCCAGACTTCATCTCTATGAAAAATTTTTAAAAATTAACCAGCATGTTGGCATGTGCCTGCAGTCCTGGCTATTCAGGAGGGTGAGGTGGGAGGATTGCTTGAGCCCAGGAAGGTCGAGGCTGCTGTGAGCCAAGATTGCGCCACTGCACTTCAGCTTGGGTGACCTTAACTTTGCAGTGAGACCGCAACTCCAAAAACAAAAAAAAAAAAGAGAAAAAAAACGCATCGGTTTCCTAGAATGGTGCAAGGGACATGAAGGCCTGATTCTCAGAAGGAAACTCTCGGCTCTTCAGCAGTACAATGTAAAATCTTTGGTGAAAGGAAAACGTGTCATTCTGTGTTCATTCAGTGATAAACAGTGAAAAGTTCTTCATCTCACAGAGAGAGAAAGAAACAAAAGAAACAGACTTCCCAGGCCCTGAGTGCACGCAGGATCAGAAACAGGGGAGGTGCCATCATTTAAAGGAAGAGGCGGGGGTAGGAGGCAGAATTTTTAAAAAAGCATTTGGCTAGACAATCCCCTATTACTGGAGATGAAAGAGTTAAATATTCACATTACACAGAATAATTTTCTTGGAAAGATGAAAAATCACTTAAAATACACAATACTGAGAAAAAATATAACATTTATTAGAGAGGCAGATACGAGGGCACAACTAAAAGATGCCAGACAGAGTCTTTTCTTTTAGGATAAGAATAGAAAGAGACAATCGTGTTGCTGTATTCAAACGAAACTTACTCAGAACCCCAGAGTTTATAATAAACTCAAGTGCGGAGCCGCAGCGGGGGCCTAGCTCCCCATGCGAGAGGCTTCGCGGCTTTCCGGCAATTATAAAAACAGAAAGGTCATTAGGCAGCAGGACACCCATAAAACAAACAGATAAAAGTACAACATTAAAACAACTCATTCAAGTACTCCGTTTAGTTTTTAAGTTGCAGAATATACACATGTCTTCTGTGGGGGAATTATGGAAATATTTAACAGCAATTAAAAAAAAAAAAAAACCACAAAAGAAAGTCACAATCCAGTTGACCCATCAAAAGTCACTCTAGTCTAAGTATTTTGGCAGTTATTAAATAAGCACATTGTAGACACACACACACACACACACACACACGACCACAAAAGGTGCACCGGCATTATTAAAACAGCTGTACTGAGTTACGGGCCTCAGGACACGTGGCTTTGCCCACATCAGATGGGTTTAAGGAGGGCGGTGTTTGTGGGAGGTTGGACAGACTTATAAACACAGTAGGGAGAGAAGGCTTCTCTGTACATATTAATCTCTAAGTGTAACTTTCAAATAGAAGGAGAAAATTGTATAAGCAGCTGAGATTTTGCTTCTTTTAACAGTCTTTTATTTAACTGCTAGAAAAAGAGAAAGTATACTTTGGGTGGAAATGGAGATTCCCAATTCTATGGGTATTGTTTTCTACTATTTCACGCATTGATGAGATGGACCTGAAATTTACAAAATGACTTCAACTGTTTAGTCAATATTACAGAGATTCACCTGTGAGAGTACTGAGGCATACAACGTAATGATCAAAAATTTAAAATTATCATCATAAATGTATGTGCCCAAACCCCTCCCACCCCATTTCCCCTGAAACCAACTGAGCTAGTTTCTGAATTAAATTTGAATAACTAAATTTGAATAATTAAGAAAATACACAGCTAGACAGGATGTCTTTTTGCAAAGCAGGCTTTTACAGTTAATGTTGTCTTGCCCTATTTTTCTTTTTGCAGTGTTTTGGTTTGCTTTGTCCAGGAGTTAACAGATTGGAAATGAGTTTGTCATTGGATAGAAAGGTCAGATTTTAATAACTTAGAAGTTTCCCATTTACTTGATTACTCGGGTGAAGCTGGAAACTTCCTACTGCTCATTTAAACAGATCCCTGTGGTCGAAGGGTCAGCTTATTTTCTTGCTGCAATCCTTACAAAGGAGAACTGAAACAGTTTTCCTAATGAGGCCTGGCGCCAGGATGGGTGGCTTATTGATACTATGTCAGCAAAAATATCCAAAAGAAATGTGGGCCAGGCAAGGTGGCTCCGCCTGTAGTACCAGCACTTTGGGAGGCTGAGGCAGGAGGATCACTTGAGCCCAGGAGTTTGAGACCAGCCTGGCCAGCATGGTGAAAACCTGTCTCTACTAAAAAAAAAAAAAAAAAAAAAAATTAGCCGGGTGTGGTGGTGGGTACCTGTAATCCCAGCTATTTGGGAGGCTGAGGCAAGAATTACTTGAACCTGGGAGGTGGAGGTTGTAGTGAGCCAGGATCACGTCACTGCCCTTCAGCCTAGGCGACAGACAGAGTGAGACTCTGTCTCAAAAAAAAAAAAAAATTTGAACTACAAAGTTAATATATATTTTACCACTCAGGCTGATAGTATGCTGTAATTGTGTAAGAAGAAGCCATTGGGGGATGGTGGGTGAAGGGTGCCGGGGCCTCTCTGTCCTATCTTGGCAGCTTCCCGAGAATCTTGTTACTATTTCAAAATAAAAAGTATGTTTTAAAAAAAAATCAGTCTGTCACCAAGTACAGGTTAACTGGCTGTGAGAATCTTGAAACACAGTCACAAGCAAATGTGCGGCTACTGCTTGGAAAATCAGCTTTAAATGGACTTGAGCTGATCAAATGAACCCACAGTGTAGAGGCCAGGGCTAATTTCCTACTTGAAAGTAGGAGGGACACAAGGAAATAATTTTCAAAAGAGAATCTGAACCTGACACCTTCATTCTGACCCATTTGCCGTGGCTTCTCTATGATCTCGGGGTAGACTCTCAAAATGGGCACAGGGAGATGCCTGGCAACCATCTAGGCGTGTGACCAGTTTCACTATCTACCCTCCCACAGCAGTGCCAATTTAAAAATGCAAATTATCATGTGGCCTAGATTCCTTTCGATGTGGTGAGACATTTTATTTCTTTCTGGCTACCGTTAATTGTATAAAATGAGCCAGACATTCTAAAATAATTTCCAGTAAATCCAAACTTTGCCAATGATTGAAAACAAAAAAAGCCAAAAGCAAACCCCCAAACTCTTTGAGCAGCACCATGCTGAGACCTGTGTCTGTGGGGAGAGCATTTGCTGCCACACCACGTTCTATTTATAGCCCCACCTGGGCACGCGTGAGCGCAGCAGAAACAGAACCAAGGGTGAGAGAAAATCACAGCCAAAAGGAGCTGATGCGTGGATACACCCCGCTTTTAATAACCGCATCTAAACAGCACTAGCACATCCGACCAGCTGTCAGCTGGGGCCAGGCACAACGGCTTACGCCTGTAATCCCAGAATTTTGGGAATCAGAAGCAGGCGGATCACCTGAGGTCAGGAGTCTGAGACCAGCCTGGTCAACACAGTGAAACCCTGTCTCTACTAAAAATACAACAATCTGCAGGATGTGGTGGCAGACGCCTATAATCCCAGCTAGTTGGGAGGCTGAGGCAGGAGAATCGCTTGAACCTAGGAGGTGGAGGCTGCAGTGAGCCGAGTTCCTGCCACTGCACTCCAGCCTGGGCAACAGAGCTGGAGCCTGTCTCAAAACAACAACAAAAACACAAATACATACCAAAAAAAACGCCAATTTGATGACATTTGGAAAATCTGTAATCCCATGTAAAAATCAACGGGTCAATTCACCAAACTTTTCCAGCGTTCAGTTGGTTGTCTGGGATCATACAGACCTCACAGGCTGCTCGTGATGCCCTACCAAGGGCGCTGGCCATGTTTAAGTAAAAATACACACTTTGGATGCCAACCTAAGAATCTTATTTACTGCTTTAGTCAAGAAGAAGGAGATGGTCTTTACTTGTGACTTCCTCCCAAGTGAATGAGTATACCGTTTAACAAACTAGCACAGTTCAGTTTGTTCACTTATAATGTGTAGCCTCCTAATGTAGCTCAATGTATGGTGGACACTAGATATGAACAAGAGAAGGGAAGTCTTTTGCACCTCCAGGATGTGTGCCGGCTTTTAAATTCAGAAAGATTAATTAGAAGCTACAGTGCAACTTATTTTTATCTACAGATGCGGCCAAAAGAAGAAATGTTTATCAGATGTCGAATGACACAGTTGTAAATTGGCAGGTGGCAGCTTTCCACATAATTTTCATCAGCAAGTGAAACTTGATCATAGCCCAAACAAGACAAGGCAATTCAGGTGCCCGGGCCCTGAAGTCCACCGTGAGACTACAGGAACACGGCACTGTGGTGCTTGCCAGCCAGTCTCTTGAAGAACTGCCTGTAACAGTCACAGGTGTGGGGAGAAACAACTCCATTTTTTTTAAGTTTTTTTTTTTTTAATCATATTAAATATAAGTCTTAGCACCTTTGGCATTTTTGTCCAAATAGACTTCGACATAGGAAGTGGGGACATAGCCCTCTTCATCTTCATTCCTCCGGATGCGGGTCCAGCCGTCGCCTTTGTCTTCCTCTATGACGTACAGTGTTTCCCCTTCAACTACGGAAATCGTTCCTTCATTCTGACCTGAAAAAGCAGTATCGGGACACTTTAGATTTCTTGGCAAATGCAGGTAGAAAGCAAACTGTGGCCATCACGCCTGTAGTCCCAGCACACTGGGAGGCTGAGGTGGGTGGATCACGAGGTCAGGAGATTGAGACCGTCCTGGCCAACATGGTGAAACCCCGTCTCTACTAAAAATACAAAAATTAGCCAGGTGTGGTGGCGCATGCCTGTAGTTCCAGCTACTTGGGAGGCTGAGGCCGAAGAATCGCTTGAACCCCGGAGGCAGAGGTTGCAGTGAGGTGAGATTGCGCCACTGTGCTCCAGCCTGGTGACAGAGCAAGACTCTGTTTCAAAAAAAAAAAAAGCAAACTGTGGCCTTTGCAATGAAACAAGTGTCATCAAGGATGAAATCCAGGCCAGGCGCGGTGGTTCACACCTGTAATCCCAGCACTTTGGGAGGCCAAGCTGGGTGGATCATGAGGTCAGGAGATCGAGGCCATCCTGGCCAACACAGTGAAACCCCGTCTCTACTAAAATACAAAAAAGAAAAATTAGCCGGGTGTGTTGTCACACGCCTGTAGTCCCAGCTACTTGGGAGGTTGAAGCAGGGGAATTGCTTGAACCTGGAAGGCGGAGGTTGCAGTGAGCCGAGACTGTGCCACTGTACTCCAGCCTGGCAACAGAGCGGGACTCTGTCAGATGCACTGACCCTTCATCCACTGCTGCAAAACTTTCTCGTTCCACACAGAAATGTGCAGGTTCCTACCTCTGTCTCTCTAAGAACCTCTCTACGTCCTCCAGGGCTTCTTTCTCCTACCTCCCCAAATGGCAAGCATCTCCCCCAGGAGAAATCTTTGGTCCTCTTCTCTAGTCTTCCGTTTCCCTTGGATCTTTCCTGGGGGAAAGGTACTTCCATGGCTCCAACTGCTTCTCTCTCTTTTTTTTTGAGACAGAGTCTTGCTCTTGTTACCCAGCCTGGAATGCTATGGTGCGATCTTGGCTCACTGCAACCTCCACCTCCCCGGTTCAAGCAATTCTCCTGCTTCAGCCTTCCAAACAGGTGAGACTACCTGCCGCCACGCCCAGCTAACCTTTGTATTTTTAGTAGAGTCAGGGTTTCACTATATTGGCCAGGTTGGTCTCAAACTCCTGACCTTAGGTAATCCACCCATCTTGGTCTCCCTTGTTTTTTTTTTTGAGACGGAGTCCTGCTCTGCTGCCCAGGCTGGCGTGCAATGGCATGATCTTGGCTCACTGCAACCTCTGCCTTCTGGGTTCAAGCAAGTCTCCTGCCTCAGCCTCCTAAGTAGCTGGGATTACAGCCACATGCCACCATGCCCAGCTAATTTTTTATTTTTAGTAGAGATGGGGTTTTACCATGTTGGTCAGGCTGGTCTCGAACTCCTGATCTCAGGTGATCTGCCTGCCTCAGCCTCCCAAAGTGCTGGGGTTGCAAGTGTGAGCCACCACAGGTGGTCACTAGGCTCATCTTTCTAACCATCCACCTGTGTTCTAATTGATCCTACACTTCTGACAACGACTTCCCTAAGGTACAGCTCTCACCGCATCAACATCCTGCTCAAGGACCTTCAATAGCTCCTCAGTGTTTGCCACATAAAATCCAGATGTTTCTCCAACCTCGCCCCAAATGGGACTTCCCAATTTTTAGTGCCACATTTCACTATGAGGACTTAAGACATCTAGGCTCCAGCAACAAGACACCCATGCTTGGCCACACAACCCCATGCATGGCAAGTTCTTGAAACTTCCTTAAGGAAACGACCTCATTCTCCCCTGTCCTCCCCATTCCTCTGTATCCCTCCTCTGGCAAACACTGCAAGCTGCTGCTCCTTTTAATTTTTTAAAATTTTTATTTATTTGTTTATTTTTGAGACGAAGTCTCGTTCTCTCGCCCAGCCTGGAGTGCAGTGGCGCGATCTCGGCTCACTGCAACCTCTGACTCCCTGATTCAAGCGATTCTCCTGCCTCAGCCTCACAAGTGGCTGGGACTACAGGCACATGCCACCACGCCTAGTTAATTTTTGTATTTTTAGCGGAGATGGGGCTTCACCATGTTGGCCAGGATAGTCTCGATCTCCTGACCTTGTGATCCATCCACCTCGGCCTCCTAAAGTGTTAAGATCACAGCCATGAGCCACTGCGCCCAGCTGATTTTTGTATTTTGGGTAGAGACGGGGTTTCACCATGTTGGCCAGGATGGTGTTGATCTCCTGACTTCGTGATCCGCCCTCCTCGGCCTCCCAAAGTGTTAGGATTACAGGCGTGCACCGCCGCGCCCAGCCGCTGGCCGCTCCTTAAGTGTGTCTGGCTGATTTCCCTCTGGACAGGTGCCATATCGTACCACCTGCACCCCACTCCTTCATGGGCCTTCACAAGACAGGAGCTCTATAGATACTAGATGTTAAATGAATGGATGAAATCATCATCTTCCATATCATCCACTGCAGTGAAGTTCTCTGGAAGCTGTTAAGTTATATGAACCACAAGTCAAACTACATAACCAAATAATAATCATACCATGAGTAGGATAAAAGCATAGTAGAGAAAGATCTGGAAGGCTGCTGTTGCTCTGTCACCCGGACTGGAGTACAGTGGTGCTCTCAGCTCACTGCAACCTCCGCCTCCCGGGTTCAAGTGATTCTTGTGCCTGAGCCTCCCAAGTAGCTGGGATTACAGGCGTGTGCCACCATGCCCAGCTAATTTTTGTCTTTTTAGTAGAGATGGGATTTCACCATGTTGGCGAAGCTGGTCTTGAACTCCTGGCCTCAAGTGATGTGTCCCCCTCAGCCTCCCAAAGTTCTAGGATTACAGGTGTGAGCCACTATGCCCGGCCAGATCTAGAAGACTTTTAAAGAACGTTCTGGTCACAGAGAACAGTGTGGCTAGGCACAGTGACTCACACCTATAATCACCACATTTTGGGAGGCTGAGGTGGGAGGACTGCTTGAATCCAGGAGTTCAATAGCAGCCTGGCCAACATAGTGAGATCTTGTCTCTACTGAAATATACAAAAATTAGCCAGGCATGGTGGTGCTCGCCTATGGTCCCAGCTACTCAGGAGGGCGAGGCTGGAAGATCACTTGAGCCCGGGAGGTCAAGACTGCAGTGAGCCATGACTGCGCCACTGCACTCCAGCCTGGGCAAGAGAGTGAGACCTTGTCTGGGGGGGAAAAAAAAGGAAGAAAAGTGAAAGAAGAGTGACGCAGATATTATGGTTTATAAAAGGCAGGGGAATCCAGCAGACATGAAATGTCACCTTCAAACGTGTAGAGAGCTTTGCACGTCCCTATGGCAGGGAGGGGCTCCTCATCATCAAATTCGTCGTCAAAATCCGTGGCCAGCACCTTCACCTCACTCTCCTGACTCTGCTCCTCTGTGTAACTGCCATCTGGGCTGCTCAAGAAAGGAAAACACAAAGCAACTAAAGCGACTGGCCCAGGGAGGACTCAGAGTGAGTCCCTGCGACTGCAAAGCGCTTGCGACCCCTGCCCCTCACTGAGTGCTGTCACTGAGACCATGGTAAATCATCCGCACACTGAGATCACCCAGCCTGTGTGGAATTATAAATCTGCGTCATGGGGAAAGTGACAGGTCCACCTTCACAGGCATTTTGGCATCGAACAAGTGCCTTATGCTTATTTCCAGGTTCCGAAATTTAAAAATATAAATACAAAGCCAGCAGGCTTCCTTGCCAGAGGCAGGTGCTGTGCAGATACTGTACCTCTCGCGGTCCTGGGCGCAGTTGTTGACGGTGGGTGTGTTCTGGCTGTCGTACAGTCCGCTCTGCCGGCGCATCTGCTCACTGCGTGCTGGGAGCCGGCCTTCAACCTCAGCCAGCCAGGCCTGGAGACACAAGCAATGAGAGACTCTAACCTAAGGTCATCTGAGGGCCAGCCCAGAGCGTCCTAAGGTCCCAAAGGCCATCAGAGGGCCAGCCCAGAGCGTCCTAAGGTCCCAAAAGCCATCGGAGGGCCAGCCCAGAGTGTCCTAAGGTCTCAAACTCAGGAGCTATTCTTGGTCATCTAACCCAATGTGACAAGGTCCACACGGGGGCAGAATGGCCACATTTTCTGCATTTGACTGTTTAAATGTACTCAAGGGCGGGTGCTTCCATTTCACTCGAAGTTGGAGACGTAGAAGCAAACTCATATTTATGTGGTTGCCCATGACGGGGCAGAAAGCATACCAGACTGCGTTATTCCCTTGGGCTTTTAAGCAGTGGTGCAATCTTGGATAAGCCACTTCTAGCTCCTTTTTTTTTTTTTTCTTGAGAAGGAGTCTTGCATTGTTGCCCAGGCTTGAGTGCAATGGTGTGATCTCTGCTCACTGCAACCTCTGCTTCCCAGGTTCATGTGATTCTCCTGTCTCAGCCTCCCAAGCAGCTGGGACTACAGGCACCCACAACCACGCCTGGCTAATTTTTTGTATTTTTTTTTAGTAGAAACAGGGTTTCACTATGTTGGCCAGACTGGTCTCGAACTCCTGACCTCATGATCCGCCTGCCTCAGCCTCCCAAAATGCTAGGATTACAGGCGTGTGCCACCATGCCCGGCCCTAGTTCCTTCTTGACCATGAGGTCACCCTGTGACACCTGAGGGTACAGCCATGCTTAAGCAGTGACTTGGTTTGAAAGCCACACTTCCCATGTTTTAACTTTTTTTGATAGAAATGAAATTTGTACTTAAAAATTAAAGTAGATAAAATAATCTTCAGCAACATCTGAAACAGTATAAAGAAGTCAAAGGAATAAAAATGACCAGAAGCCTGGGCACGGTAGCTCAGGCCTGTAACCCCAGCACTTTGGGAGGCTAAGGTGGGCGGATCACGAGGTCAGGGTTCAAGACCAGCCTGGTCAACATGGTGAAACCCTGTCTCTAATAAAAATACAAAAATTAGCTGGGCATGGTGGCCCGGCCTGTAGTCCCAGCTACTCAGGTGGCTGAGGCACAAGAATATTGGAACTCAGGAGATGAATCGTTGCAGTGAGCTGAGATGGCACCATTGCACTCCAGCCTGGGTGACAAAGTGAGACTCTGTCTCAAAAAACAAACAAACAAAAACAGAAAAGGACAGTTCTAAATTCTAAAAGCTCAAATGAACATTACTGATGGATTCTGAAAAGAATGAAAAAAGTTGGCTGGGCGTGGTGGTTCACGCCTGTGATCTCAGCGCTTTGGGAGGCCAGTGTGGGTGGATCACCTGAGGTCAGGAGTTCGAGACCAGCCTGGCCAACATGGTAGAACCCCGTCTCTACTAAAAATACAAACATTAGCCAGCTGTGGTAGAATGTCCTGTAGTCCAAGCTACTTGGGAGGCTGAGGCAGGAGAATTGCTTGAACCCAGGAAGTGGAAGTTGCAGTGAGCCAGGCTCATGCCACTACACTCCAGCCTGGGCAACAGAGCGAGACTCCGTCTCAAAAAAAAAAAAAAAAAAAAAAGAGAATGAAAAACGCCATAGCTGACCTTTCATTGCTGGAAACAGTCTACCAGTCTGATTGGTAGAATTGGTTGCTGATGTATTTCCCATGCTCTGTAGTCTTTCAGTGTGGTGTGGAGTGTGGGTTAAGGAGGCTTTTGTTGACAGCTTTTGAGTGCTCCTCTCCCTCCCTCAAACCTTTATGATTTATGTTTCCTGCCTGTTTCTCATTTGTGTTTCCTGCTGGTTCTCACAAACACACCCTTTCCATAATGGGCAAAAAGAACAATTGCATACTTCAGTGAATTTTTTCATTGCTTTTTTGATTCACTGGGATAATGGATTGCTCTATACTCCCAATTAGATTACCATGAGACATAGCAGAATAACTAAAATGACAAAAAAATACTGGCCAGGTGTGGTGGCTCATGTCTGTAATCCCAGCACTTTGGGAGCCCAAGGTGGGAACACGGCTTAAGGCTAGGAGTTCAAGACCAGTCTGTGCAACAGAGCAAGACCCCGGCTCTAAAACAAATAAAACTTAGCCGGGTAGGGTGGCATGTGCCTGTAAGCCCAGCTCCTCAGAGGCTGAGCCAAGGAGATCAAGGCTGCAGTGGGCTATCATCATGCCACTGCTCTCCAGCCTGGGCAAGAGAGCAAGACCCTGTTTCCAAAATTAAAAAAAATAAACAACCCCCACACCCCCCACTGTATACGAATAAAACATTAAACACTGTCAGTTTTTGTGTGTGTTTTTTTTTTTTAGATGGAGTCTCACTCAGCCGCCCAGGCTGGAGTGCAATGGTGCATTCTCGACTTACTGCAACCTCTACCCCTCAGGTTTAAAAGATTCTCCAGCCTCAGCCTCCCGAGTAGCTGGGACTACGGGCACGTGCCACCATGTCTGGCTAATTTTTTTGTATTTTTAGTAGAGATGAGGTTTCACCACATTGGCCAGGCTGGTCTTAAACTCCTAACCTCAGGTGATCCACCCACCTCGGCCTCCCGAAGTGCTGGGATTACAGGTGTGAGCCACCGCACCCAGCCGACACTGCCGGTTTTTACAGACACAATTAACATAGGCTATGATAAGAAGCAGAAGGTTCAACAGCGAACAGTGTATTTTTCCTTTGACTGTAACTCATGACACAAACCGCCATTCCCACTGTCTCCCCCAGTGAGAGGACTGTCAGGGGCCCACACCATTCTACACCGAGGAACATCTTTTCTTCTTTATTCCAGCAAAGCTTTTATTTTTTTTTTAGGAGTTCTTAGAGGGGGTGTCTCACTCATGTTACCCAGGCTGGAGTGCAATGGCGCGATCTCGGCTCACCGCAACCTCCGCCTCCCGGGTTCAGGCAATTCTCCTGCCTCAGCCTCCTGAGTAGCTGGGATTACAGGCATGCGCCACCATGCTCAGCTAATTTTTTGTATTTTTAGTAGAGACGGGGTTTCACCATGTTGACCAGGATGGTCTCGATCTCTTGACCTCGTGATCCACCCGCCTCGGCCTCCCAAAGTGCTGGGATTACAGGCTTGAGCCACCGCGCCTGGCCCAGCAAAGCTTTTTGACAATGGAAGTTTCATACCTCAAATTTCTGGGTTTCTAGTCGCAGTTTCTCTATATTTTGGCTGACTTCTGCTAATTTGTGATCCAAACTGGCTGGATCTCCCATCTGAGGATTCTTTAGGTAGACATCTTTCATTTTTGTTATGGCATCTCTGAAAGGAAGAACAAGTAGAACGCTGTAAAGGTTGCTCTTTTTTTTTTAGATGGAGTTTTACACTTGTCAACCAGGCTGGAGTACGTGGTGCGATCTCGGCTCACCGCAACCTCCACCTCCTGGGTTCAAGCAGTTCTCCTGCCTCAGCCTCCTGAGTAGCTGGGATTACAGGTGTGTGACACCACGCCCAGCTAATTTTTGTATTTTTAGTAGAGACAGGGTTTTGCCATGTTGGCCAGGATGGTCTCGAACTCCTGACCTCAGGTGATATGCCCATCTTGGCTTCCTAAAGTGCTGGGATTACAGGCATGAGCCACTGCGCTAGGCCAGTGTTACTTTTGTCAGCCAATATTCTACCACTTTGAAAAGCAAATGAGGGCCGGGCGCGGTGGCTCACGCCTGTAATCTCAGCACTTTGGGAGGCTGAAGTGGGCAGATCACGAGGTCAAGAGATCAAGACCATCCTCACCAACATGGTGAAACCCCATCTCTACTAAAAATATAAAAAATTAGCCAGGCATGGTAGCATGTCCCTGTAATCCCAGCTACTCAGGAGGCTGAGGCAGAATCGCTTGAACCCGGGAGGTGGAGGTTGAAGTGAGCCAAGGTTGTGCCACTGCATTCCAGCCTGGGTGACAGAGCGAGACTCCATCTCAAAAAAAAAAAAAAAGGTATGAATGGAAATGTGGGAAGATTAGAGTATGCATTATAAGGGACTACTGGGCCAGCGTCCATCCTGGCAATTCTCTGTAGGAATTCTGCTCTCAAGGGCTATAAATACAGAAGCTGAGTTTTAAATTTTAGTTCCCGTCTCTGGATGGTATCTCCTCATTGTCCCCAATAAATGAGGAACATATACTAATACTGCCCTTCCCTTTGCCCCAAACAACAAGAAAAACAAACAAAACCCAAGAATTAAAAAAAAAAAAATTATTTATTTACTTATTTTGAGACCAGTTTATGAGACTGGGTAATTTCTGTATTTTTAGTAGAGAAGGCGTTTTGCCATGTTGCCCAGGTTGGTCTTGAACTCCTGGCCTCAAGCCATCCACAGGTCTCGGCCTCCCAAAGTGCTGGGATTACAGGTATGAGCCACCGAATCTGGCTTCAAAACCCAAGTATTTCCAACATAGTGAAACCCTGTCTCTACCAAAAATACAAAAATTAGCTGGGTGTGGTGGTATGTGCCCATAATTCCAGCTACTTGGGAGGCTGAGGCGGGAGAATTGCTTGAATCTAGGAGGTGGAAGTTGCAGTGGGCCGAGATTGTGCCACTATACTCCAGCCTGGGCGACAGAGCGAGACTCTGTCTCAAAAACAAACACAAACGAACAATAAAACAAACATTTCCACGTGTGCATTCTTCATGCAAACCCAAGCTACGCTGGCATCCTGGGTCTCACGGACGGCAATATGCTCACCTGACAAGCAGTTAATTGCTCTGGCAATGTTAACACACATCTATTTCAAAGAAACTGAATCCACAGCTAGAATCCACGACAGGTAAGCGACAGAGCCTTAAAGCTACACATGGTGGATCCCATATCCTTAAAGAAACCCTGTTTTGAAGCAGCCCACAGCAGTGTGGGCAGGCATCCCTAGAGAAGTTCGGGCGTGTTGGGGTTTAAGACCAAAGGGCTCTGCTCATTTGGCCCTCAAGGCAGGGCACCTTTGGAAGGCTTTGAGTCATGAAAAGTCTAGAGCAGGCCACGCGTGGTGGCTCACGCCTGTAATCCCAGCACTTTGGGAGGCCGAGGCGGGTGGATCATGAGGTCAAGAGATCGAGACCATCCTG